GTAAATTATTGCTATCTCTTCTTAGGATCGAATAACATAATTAGGACTGAATGTATAATGTTTAACATTAAGATACGACTGAGCAAATGTCAATCAATGTGTTAATTGATAACTTACTGGTGGTATTAAGTGATATGCTATAAAAAGTTTAATTGAAGAACAATTACCGGATTGAAATGATGAATTCGATAGTTTTGATAATTTGTTCCAATATATTTTTGGTAATTTCGATATAGCCGGGTATCTTGATATAGTGTATTAAAATATTGTTGTATTTGAACCTCAGTCTCAGAGTCAATTCTTTATTCTAACTGTAAACTTCCTCGATCTAGTGACTTCTGTATTCCACTCGTGACTGTATACCTGGATTTAATATAAATATATTGTGACTGGTGGTGAAATCGAGCTCCAACGACTAGCCTGTACAACCATCCGTTACAGCTTGACCTCGGTATGTGTATGCACAGCAGTGTAATAAAAATTACAACAACAGATTCACTACAGTACACATTCTCAATGCATGAAAGTGAACAAAGTATGAAAAACAAAAACACTTCTCTGCACTACAAATATGCAGGTAGGGAAACCAACAAAGCAGTTACAAAACGATTCACTGCAGTACACATATCCAAGCAAGGAAGTCATCAAAGTAGTAAAAGACAACTTCACTGCAGTACACGTGGCACATCAGGGAAACGAGCAAAATATTTAGAACAAGCTTCACTGCATTACACTTTGGCACAGCAGGGAAACCAGTAAAAATTTTACAAAAAAACCTCACTGTAGTACACTTTGGAACTTCAGCAAAACTAACCCGTAGTAACTTTGTAAATTCAGAAATATTTGTATCTTATCTTTTATCTTGTTTAATATAGCTTGTTAAAGATGGAATTGGTATATTCTCAAACATTTAAGTATTAAAGGTCTATTGCTGTTTCACAAATAGCAAATATCTATTGTCTTTGCCATTGTGCTTTTGTTTATAAAAGTGAATTTAGGTTTTGTGTATAGCAACTGTGTGGAATGTGGTCATAGATTTTTTAAAGTTTGTTTCATTTGTATTTTTGGTTATGATGTTTAAACTAATTTTATTATTATTAATTTCATTACTTATAAGGATTATTCTGCATTGTTAACTTAATATGTGGATTTAGGGTTAATCTAAATTTCCTATATTGGCCAAACCAGTCGAGTTATTGGAGAGTTTACGGCTGAATCAATTGTTAATAAGGGTATTCTATTTATGATTTAATACAATTTAGTCATTATAGGTTTGAATTGTGTGTGTCTGTGTACGTGTGTTTATATTTATACTACTCTGTCAGTATGATATACAGAATTAGTTGTATCAATGAGTTTACGGCTGAATCTATTGTTAATGAGGGTATTCTATTTATGATTTAATACAATTTAGTCATTATAGGTTTGAATTGTGTCTGTCTGTGTACGTGTGTTTATATTTATGCTACTCTGTCAGTATGATATACAGAATTAGTTGTATTAATTTTTAAGTTGGTTACATTTGATTCTCCACCAACTCTTCCACCTTACAGGCAATTTACCCAGTCAAGTTCTTGGTAATAAAACCAAGCCCATTATGCTAAAAAAGGAAATCTTTCCATTAGTCAATCCTTCATGTTGTCCTTCAGCCAAATCATTCAACCTTATCGTGGGACAACTCCCACATGACCAATCTGTGATGATGTCCATTCATCAAGCCTTTAGCCTTGCACATTCCTAAATACTATCATCAGGCTGCATTATTGTAACCATTCCCTGTCTGAACATATTTTCCAGTGTTATGCCTTCTTGTCTTGAAATATACGCTAAAGATGTGTAATATTTCTGATCTTAATTTGTTCAAGGTGACCATGTACTCCTAATTTAATCAGGCTATTTTCTCAATGACTTGAAAATCAGAGTGAATTCCCACATCCTTCTTTTGCTGAAGGGCTAATAACTCAGCAAAACCACTTGGAGCACATTATTTGTCAATGAATGGCATCATTAGCTGCATGATAACTGCACATTGAACTATCAGTCTTATTCAGACATGAGAGTAGATGGATATATTTTTTTTTTATCAGATGTTACCATCCTTTTAACAAATAAATTAACTAAACAAATCATCTTTAACTGATAAACAGGAAACATCACAGCACAGTTTAATTAAAGTAAACAGAAAATTCAGTAAGAAAACATTCAACAAATAATTCCCCCCTCTCTTTTTTTTACAAGTACAATATATTCACTAAATTTAAATTTCAGTACCTCAAAATGCAATCACATATACTAGTGACACTAACAGCTCATACTGTGTTGTTTTTGGCTATGAATGTAATTTATTTTGCTTATATGTAAGAGGTTATTGAAAATCAAATTGTATGTACAACTAAATATAAAGGTATATGCTCTTTAGGGTTATTATCATATCATACCTTAGGTTTAATATATTTCATGGTTTGATGGCCCAGTCAAAAAATGAAGGTCCACTAACTTTTGCAATTACTGTTTGTGTGTTGGGAAAATAGAAAAATAAGGTAATAAGAAAGGCATTTTCTCTGTGGCCCATGATATCTAATAAAGTTAAGAGTATGGGTTATCTAAATGAGGACTTGATAACTTACAAAATAAGTGACTTGATTTTTCTCACACTCATGGGAGTATTACTATAATCCTGGCATTAGATGTATTATGCATTGGCACTATATGCAAATATAATAATCAGTAATACAGATGACATTATTTTAAATTTTCTGTTACTGATTTTTTTGGTTACAGAAGGTAAGTGAAATTAAACTTTACAACCATTATGATAAATTATCCAGCTTGATCTAATGTAATTATAAATTTGAAAACATCCTGCTTTCAGATTATAAACAGGTTATTAAATCAACAATGTAAGACTGTTTGAATCGTCTCTTTGTGATTGCTATTACTGCCACTACTGTACCCATATTTCACTAAATTTAACAATTTTGAAACTTTTTATGCCCAAATGATTTGCCAAAATAAGTACTTGAACTGCCTAGTTATGTACTTTCATGCCAATTTAAGCACAAGTTACAAGTTATCTTCCAACTGTTTTTTACTTTGACATGAGTGTGTCAAACCAAGTTCTATTTACAGCCTCAACAATCACAAAACTTTAGTAATAAATATTACACATTAATGGAAGAAGTATGAATGACAAGATAAACTTGTAACAACTTTGTTTTGGGATACATTTATTTGATTTATGACACTAGATTTTTAGATTATCCCTAGAACAAACTATCAGAATATCACCATTAAAATACAACTGAAACTACAGCCATCAATGCCCTAAGTGTTATAACAGTAGTCTTTCTGACTGGATAAATCTATACATAGGTTGGTGGCATGCATCATGTGATCTGCCTATGGTACACATTGTTGCAACCTATGCTAAACAATACCTAAGCAACCAAAGAGTAGGCAAAATTCTCTTGGTAAGCAAAGATTTGGTGAAACACATTGCAATAACAAATTTCTGGCAATACTCTCTAGTAATATTGTATCAAAACTTTCAAAACAAATGTTAACTTTTTTTTTTTATCTAACTGCTACTTTTCAATATTTTTCTATATTGCACCTAGTTTCCCCATGTAATGTGCTACGTCATGAAGCAAGCAAACGTCTAGAAACAGATCTTACTTTTTCATTTCGTATATGGTAGTTTCTATCCTCTCCAGAGAATGAAATAATGAAGGAAATACAATACTTCAGCCATCATCTGTAATAATTATAGTTTAATATCCCATTTAGAATAACTACAAAACACTACTTTATCTACAGTCCAGATGCAAGGAATACACCAGCAGGCTACTTAGTCTAACATTTTCATATGTGGTGTTAACATTGTTATTCATTTATATAATTATTTCAGTATCTCCTAACTCTTCATCAGATGGGAGATCGATTTTGCTTGGATCTATGAGGTTTTTGTCTATCAGTGGTAAGCCTAACTTTTCTCTTCTGTGGAGCTGTAAGAAAGCTTCCCTCACTGACCATTGTTTGCTTCTGTAACATACATAATTGGAATTTTTGTTAGTATTTCTAAATAAATATTGAACACTAAAAACACTTGTTTTCAGCTAGTTAACACATTCACGATATCATGCGCCACCAGTGGTACGTTTGCATGTTTTCTGTTGGACGTCGTGAGCCACCTGTAGTACACAGCACCCATAATATAAAACTGAACCTCATATCTCCAGTCCTATATGAAAGCATTTATTTTGTATGGATGGCTATAATAAAGTCATGCCTTCCATCATGTACCACTGGTGGAGCATGGATACCATATCCAAAGGACAACTGAATTAGAAAAAATGTACATGATTAAATCACTTTATATTTTAAAATTACATCTAGAGACTAGCATTAAATGTATCATTGTGAGTAACTGAAGCAAAAAAATAATTGAGACTTCTTTCATACATAAAAAACAACAACTTTCATTTGATTATTATTATTTAATTCATAGTGTGAACCACCAATGGCACATGATGACCAAAGATTAAATGGGTATAGAAAGGATGTCATGTACCACTCAAGAGAAAGCTGTCAATGCAGTCATTCAACATAACATAAGGCCATAAAATTAGCAGTATCTAAAACAGAGTTCACAATAAGGCTTTACGTTCCTATTGCATAATTAGAGAAATCATGTCATGAATGTGTTAAAGAACAAGCTTTGTTACACAACGTCAGCTCACATTTTATACTAATATCTACATTACTAAAAACTGTTTAACCTCAGGATCATCAATGACATCCACGTAGAATCAACTGGCTTTTTAAGAGCATTTCTCTAAATTATAAATGCACCATATTGCTTGTAGGTCTATGATTTTGTTGGTTGCACAAGTTGCACACACAAAAAATATTGCAAGTAATTCCACCATTGAAGGCTAGGATTACCTAGATATTTTACTTAGACAAAAATTATTTTACCCAATTGTTTCTTCAGTCCTTTATCTTAGTTCTGTTACAAGTAAAAACGTAAAGTTAATATTCAACAAACTCCTACCACCACGTATCGATGTGTATCACACCAGCCTATGATCTAATGGTCCTAATGCTGTAGTTCTCCACCAATAAAGTGACACAATCTCCATGAAAAGTAATCCCTGTCCGTACTAGCATATGATCATAGTGGGAAGTAGTGCAAAGAAGTAATAATCTGAAATACATTTTCACATAAGGAAAATGTTAACATTAGAAATGTAACTTAGCTATAATCCCTCATTAAAGATGGTGGAGGAGGCTGGTGCTGATCAATTAAAAAGATAAGCTCCTTTCTCAAATAGCAACAGAAAGGGAAAGCCCATGCAGTATGACTTCCACAAGACTGGGAATCACCAAGTGAAGCATTGGTGAGAGACCTCAACTTTCTTGAGCAGGGAATATGTTTTGCTTAATGAGTTATTATTGTTAAGTTATTGTGATAGTAGAACAAAGGATATCAGGAAAATCCAATGCTGATGGTTATGTGTCACTGAGGTAGGCTGAATGTTAAAATGCCTAGAATGGCTGAGGCTTTATGCAATTTCGTCTAAGTCAAATACTTACATGAGATAGATACTATTGTGGAAGGAAAAAGGGCCCTCATTTGCATCTCAAAGCTATTTTTCAAGCAACTGCTGTTGAGATTTTACACATGCCACTAGCCTTGAACTATCTCCCACTTACATCATGTGTTTTGACTTAAACTGTGCTAATACATGATGTAATGGTCAAGTAACAATAGCTCTCCACCAGTTGGAAGGTGATACATCCTCCATATACAGTAGATACACATTAGCATTTGCACTCAAAACTAACTTCATTCTTAGACCAGGCAGTAGTAATATGCACCAGTAGTGGGGAGGAATGATTAAAAGGTGTGAAGAGAGTAAGCAGCTATGGAAGATGCACTTTCAGGTAAAGGAAATGTTAACTTCCAAAATAATCCACTTAACTCTTTGCACATAGCAGTTAGAATCCCACTCTGATGTGTTGGAGAAGCTAGTGCAAATGAGAAAATCTAGATGAGCTCCCTTAAGAGAAGGCATCAGAAGTAGATAGCCCTTGGAGCATGAAAACCATATAGAGGGGGCTTACTAGAGGAGTAACACTTATGGGAAAATGTGTCCTCCTCTGATAGGGTACACTTTTCACTCAAATGGAAATATGAAAGGAAGCAAGCAAAAATGAATTAATGTGTTGCAAGGATGGGCAGAAAAAATACATGACCAACCATGCATTTGCATACAATAGATTGGATGGACAGGAGGTGTAGTGTGGCTAAGGCAATAATGATGTTTGGTATGTGTTCTGCTGTACAATTTACTCACCATATATACAGAAAGGAGGACTAAGGTTCCTTCCTGTCTCCCAAAGAGAACATTTTGACCCATTCGGCTGGTCAAAACCACCAGAACTCTCTCTGGAGGGATTGCAATACCAATGAGTCATTCACTTCAGCAGCTAGGAACTGGGAATGGCAAGGGTCTCTTGTGCTTCATTCAAAGATAGAGGCAACTCACACTAGGAAGACTCCAGAGAAGTGCCTCGACCCAATCAGAATTAACCAATGTAAAGGTCTTTTACTGGGGAAAGTGCAATGGGTTATCATGAAACATATTTTGAAAAGCTGCCATGTGCAAGCCAGGGAAGTGGGCAGGCACTCCCCTGATAGGCTTTACACTTTCTGTTACTTTTACTGGGGAAAGTGCAATGGGTTATCATGAAACATATTTTGAAAAGCTGCCATGTGCAAGCCAGGGAAGTGGGCAGGCACTCCCCTGATAGGCTCTACACTTTCTGTTACTGATGCAGGTATAGAAAAGTAAGTATACTATATCAAGCAACACCAGCCATTGGATAGGTTCCAAGTTGGAGATGAGAAACTATTATCAAAAGTGGGTAAATAAATAAATGAGATACTTACTCAATTCAAATTGGTGACTGGGTTAGAAGTCTAAATGGAAATGAAACTGCTAATAAATCATGAAGAAGATGTGTTGTGCATTGTCCACATTCTCTGTCTAAGATTTTGTCCAATGGTCACAAAACATCAAGGGACAAATATGATGAAAAGTGACATGACAGAGTCAGCGAGTAGTGGACTAAAAATCCCTGGATGAGGAGGGGGGGAAATACAGTAATAATAGGCACTTTCAAGCATACCAAAAGGGAGCTCCATGTGTCATGAAACATCAGATTACCCAAACAAAGCAAGAAAAATGACCAGGATCAGTACAACCACTGCAGGCAGGAAACAATACAAGGGAAATGGACCCATTTCGCCCCAAAACTTCCCATTAGTAGGTCAGAGTGGTCAAAGAACAAAGGTAACATGATTTATGGAATAGAGTATGGGAGGCATATAGGGCATAAACATTGGAATAGAGATGACCTCAAACCAGAAGGAGAAGAAAAGATGCCTTCAACAAAAGGTAAGAGAAGGAATGGGTGGTCAAGGATTCAAATACAAACAGAGTCTGAGTGAAAATGTAAAAAACTAAAAGAAAGTCCCAATCAGGCAAATAAACTGGAGCAGAAGAAAGAAGGTAGAAGTGCAGGGGAAGAAAAGATGGAACCATTGGAAAAAGGCAGCTTACAAGACCACAAAATATCCTACCATGGTGTGGACTGACAATCTCGGTCAAACAGCCTGGTAAAGAAGTTTAAATGATAAGCAAAAGAAGAGTGGTCCTGAGGCAGAGAGTGCCTAATGGATCAATAGCAAGAAACATACCACCTGCAACTGTAAGCCATGTGAAAGGGATCGTGGAAAAAAAGGAGGATGATAGGGAATGATGCTAAGACAAAAAAAATCCTAGCATGGGAACTAAAGTCAGAAGGAGGAGGAAAGAATAAAACTGCAGCATGAAAGCACAGAATAAAGATTAAAAAGAAACAGAGGACATAGAAGAAAGAGAAAACATAGTACAAACCCCACACAATCTGCAAAGGGAGATAGGAATGATGAGTTCCTCAATGGTGAACAATGAGACCAGAGCAAAACCAGATTGTGGAAAGAACTGGACAAAAATGTTGACCTGATGGACAGGCTCAGAAATGAAGAATGCACAGGAGACAGAGGAACCATTAATGGTGAAATTTGGTGGTAACATTTTCCACAGACAAAGAAGTCTCAGCAGTCAAAAACATGGAAGAAGCTGTGAGGAGTTTTGAGACATTACAATGTGCAAACAACCATGATAGAGGACATTAACTAGTCTCATTCCAGATGAAGCAGCAGAAACATGAATAGGCAGGTTGAATAAAAACATGAAAAGTTACCCTAACACAGCTATTAGCACTGTTCAAAAATGAATAAGTGAGAAATGGAATTATAAATCTCACTAAAGTCAAAAATGAAGAATAAGAATGCACTGAAAGAAGAAATAGTCAAAAAGACAGTAAATATGATGAAAAAGCTTACTAAATCAAATTAATTACAAAAGTCATGCAAAATCTTTCAAAACTGAACAGCAAAATTAAAGACATCTGTTAACGGCAGTGCCAAGTTTAAAAATGATATTAATTTTGAGTGCAGGTGCTTATGGTGTTCCTATTAATGGAAGGCTATTGCCATATGATGATTACATCATGTACTAGCTCAGTTCACATGAAAACACATGATTTAGGTGGGTAATAATTCAAGATTAGTGGTGGGCATAAAATCTGAACAACATGCATGGGAAAAGTAACTAGTATGTGCAGAGAAGTGGACTGTTTTGGAAAGAATGGTATCAGTGTAAAGATTCAAGTCAAATGGAGTAATATCCTTGGAGCAAATGAGCCACCACAACATAGAGGGAAGTAAAAATGAATGGAGAGGAACAAGGGCAAAATTAGAGAAGAGAGAAGACAGAGATAACAAATGCCATAGCTCTCATACTAGGGAAGAATAAGAATGTTTTACAAATATTTCCTTATAAAATAAAGAACTTAAAACTTAAATAATACTAACCTTTGATTTATATTCTACATTCTGATGCTGAGTTTGTTCATGTACATTAATAAAAATAATTTAATTAAATTTTGAATTTAACTCTGTGAAAGGTTGTGACATGCACAATTTGACCTACCTGAGGTTAATCATGTGGTACATTTAATGCTTGGAGACGGCTTGAATGGGTAATGAAGAAAAACTTTAATATAAGTTTAACATAACAGCAAATGTACAACGTTTCAACAAGGTTTTGTCATCATCAAAATGAGAAAATGCCTGAAGAAGAATGTATGGACCTCAGGACTGTTTTGTTTATGCAGTCATTGTTGTAAGCAGTAACACAAGGACAAAATATGGCAGCTAGAGAAAATGAAGTTGCAATCAGGTGGGTGAAACAATGTGCAACTAGGATAAAACTAAAGCAGGATTACATAAAAAAAAGGAAATCAAAGCAACTAGAAATTCAAAAAGCACAGCAAAAACATGTCTGAACACAGGCAGTGGCAGGGAAAGAATGAACCTATGATCATGTGTTGGTACTCACAGCAATTACTGTGCATGGAGGTTGAATCACACTCCTGTTGGTGGAGAGTTAAACCATCATAATGACTATGTCATTGGCTGGTCCAATACATATAGACACATGTAGGGGTGAAGTCTGTTTAAGTTATGTGACATGTGCAGGACATTTCACAGCCATTGCACATGAGGTAATAGCTATTAGTTATGCAGAAGGTAAGTAGCATTTCTAAAATTATTCAATATGATGTAACTTGTGGACCACACCAGCAATAAATTGTACAAAAACAAGTTGATAATTCAAGGGTTATCAAAGCTAACTAGAAAAATGAATAGTTTTAATATATTTTTTACAGAGAAAGAAAAGATGGGCAAAAACAAAAATTATTACTGATTCTCCCTATCTCAGGTAACTAAGCTTAAAAAGATGTGAGATCCCTTACTATGAACTTAAGAAGTGCAATTTTTTAAGGTGATATTCTCAGATTAACATTGTATGGATGCTGTTAATTGATGTGTACTCCTATTTTTTACATAACAAACTATCATTAATTAACAATGTTTCATTAACCCAAACCAGTTTTACTCAATTACTCCGTATATATACTTATGATCTGATGAAAGATATTTCAATAAATATATTCATCCAACCCTAAACAGGATTCCCAGCAATGTCTGCTGCTACCAGCCTTTAAAATAATGGCTAATTTGACAAATTACAGGCTGAAACTGACTGAAATATAGAATATTTCCAGCAAAACCTTTTGTGAAGGTGATATATTGAAAGTCTTAGAAACAAATATGTTTCAAACATATGTTGTCTTTTGCTTTCTACTAAATAGTTGAGGGTAATTTTTCTTACTGACAATATTCATGAATCATTGGTCACAGTGAGTATCTCCTTCAGGGCATATGTATATAGGTACAATTAAAAACTAAATTTTACACTTTAAATGAAGAGCATGAAATTATATTTCTATAAATATACACTTTTTACAGGCTGAACTTTAAAAACAGGCTGTTACACACTCTGAACAATTATACAAGTTTTAACATATCACTGGGGGGCTTGCTGAAATACAAAAAGAGTGTACAAAATTCAGTTTACAACCTGGAAAAAAAAAATGAAAGGAACACACACCTGAAGTCAGGCATATACATGAGAACAAAACCACCTCCCACTAGACACACGGTTATTCCCATAAAACAGCATGTACGATATGTTGATCTGTCATCTTCCTTGGATTCAACACTCCATCCATAGCTGACCCAGTTCTAAGTAAGATGATAAAACATACATACACAAAACAAATTATTATACTAGATGTTTTTCTGAATTCCAAAAAACAAGATAACTAACCAGTATTCCTTTTTAGATATGAAATGTAATGAAAATTTGCCACTATACTCATAAGATAAAAGGATTATATTACTTATGTGTTCTGATAAAAGTTTAGTGTTGTAATCACATAACATTAAAAATACCAACAACAATCCCCATCTTTTAATTTCTATTAAGCCCAGTATATACACTGCAGAAAACAAAGGTAAATTAAAATTTAGTTATAAAAACACATAATAACATTTATCAGCTCATTTTTTATGCAAGTCCTATCTGATGGTATGTCATGTAATCATAAGTGCAAATGATTGGTCATTCAGTTTATGCTTGTAAGTGAACAATTGACAGAGATGGCTTTATATTTTTTAAAGATCATGATATTATGAAATAATTTAGATATCATAAATAGCAAGGGTTGCCTGGTACCGATATAGGATACTTAAAATAACAGTCTGATAAATCGTGGAAATATTTTAGACCACTTCTCTGAAAGAGCTCTTTCCAGGACATCTTTAGTGTCTAGTCATTAGATGGGACACATCTCCCAACATTCCACACATGCTTGATGTGACTGAAGTCCAATAACATTGTAAACCTCTATTTGCTCAATATTCCTACTCTTCAAGGAATGTGTTAATGTAAGGGACAGACTGTCAAGTTATCATCCATTAGGTTAAAGTGAAATCCAAATGGAGCAACACATAGCAGCTAATGGGTTGCAGGATTGGTCTCCATAATATTAATGGCATTAACCTTTACTGAATCAGAGTGGTTTCATCGATATTGCTTGGTTTTTTTTTCCTTCTCACAATGGAAATACTAAAACAAGTTACATGACACATGAATAATCTTAATATACTATATCTAGTTCTGGCTCACAAAAATTCACGTAATTTAATTTAGTTTTAATGTTTTTTATGCTTGAAATGTCAACAAATTTGTTGTGAGATGCTGTCTTGAAAAATAATAAAATAATTCCTTCTGTCAAAGAATTTCAATTTTTTTATTGTTGATCAGATTGAGCAGAAAGTTCCATTTTGTATATCCAGTCAGGTTCAAGTTAATTGATATTTATTAACATGTTTCTTTCGATACTTTGCCAACTGCAGTAGTCACCACTTCAGCTATAAACTGTAAAAAACACTGCAGAAACTGTCAAAGTTTTATTGGTACTCTAGGACCTAACCATGAAAATGACATCAGGTCAGACTAAGTAACAATATTTATGCTAATAATGTTCTTGACCAAGATCAGATTACATCTAATAAATATTGTTTCATTTTTAGATATTACAAGTTATTTTACTCATGCTCATTGTTTGAATATGATTATGATTAATTTAACAATAATATTGAATAAACAAGGACTTGAGTGATCACAATATTCTGATATACCTACTGTACTCTCTAAACCTAACCAGGCTTATCTAATTTCTTGTCATACAAGAAATATTCTGTAACTTTCAAACAGATAGCATTTTCATAAATTAAAAGAATGTAAAAAACTATAAATCAAAGTTAACATTTTCTTACACTGAAAATGTATTTCCAATAATACTTACCTCAGCTGACACTATAGCTATTTCTCGATCCCCAGGGTTTCCACTCTTTCCCCATCTAAGCATTGAAAACACTTGCTCCAGTCTTTATATACCTCACTCAATGGTCCTTGGCAAATTCTAATTTGAAAATTTCTCCACCAACTTCAATGCACCCTCTATCTAGGTACTGTATATAAGCACCTCATTCAGATAATGTAATCACTTTAACAAGACATAAACTGACTTTTAGTGGGGAGGTAGGGTGGGAGAGTGTCAGCAGAGGTAAGTATTATTCGAAATACATTTTCAGTTTAGAAAAATGTTAACTTCCAAAACATACTTACCTCCACTGACACTAGAATCCCACATTGAGAAGGTGGAGGGCTGGCACAGGCATGAACCCTACAGAAAGTGTCTGTATAGGACAGAAGTGTACCAATATAAAGATGGTACAAGTGTGGGGGAACCGCACTACATCTAGAACAGGTAAGCTCTTCACCAGGAACTCAGTTCTATATCAAAGGTGGAATAGAATATGAGTAATTGTCAATATAGGCCAGCCCCAAACCAGATAGCCGAGGTTCCACAACTTGGGGTTGGAATTAAGGGGTCATAGTACCTATATTCCACGTTGGTGGCTAGGGCTATTGGACTTCAATGTTATATATACTTTTGATTGGATCCCAACCTGTAGCCATAGAGACTGCCAGTGTGGGAGATGCAGAGGTGGACATTCCAGCAGACATTGAAGAAGCAGAAACCATGTTTAAGCTGGCCAATATGATGCAACAAGAAGACCTTGACAGAGTGTGGAAAGAACCATAGTTAGAATGTGGGACAACAGCCGATTCGGGGAAATAGCATACAGATGTAAACCTGTCCAGTCCTGACTGAATACATCTACTGCCAATGCTTGAAGATGAGGTATCGAAGGCCAAAACAACTGCAGTTGAGAATTCCAAGGAGCCACAAAAGCATCAATTGTTGGAGACCTGAAATGAGAGCAAATTTACTGAAAAACCTTGTGATGTAGCATCCATTCTGTCAAAAGAATTTGATTGGGTCGAGACAAGTGATCTGCAATTAAATTCATCACTCCTGGAACATGACATGCTAAAAGACTGATACAATGAGCACAACCCCAGCAGAATAGATCTAAGGTTACGAAAACAAGGGTCTCGAGAATGTGTGCCTCTTTGACAAGAAATCTGAGAAACCACCATGGAATTGTTGGAATGTATCATGACAACTTTTACCCTCAAGAGAGACAGATCTTGAACCATAGCCCAGTGTACTGCAAGGAGTTTGAGAACGTTGATATGAAGGGTAGATTTGTCTTCTCTCCAAATACCCTGGAACTCCTGACCTTGAAGATAAGCTCGCCATCCCTGAAGAGATGCATGTGTAAACAGATGGATCTTGGGACGAGGTGGTGGAATGGGTACCCCAATAGTAATGTCGTTCTGATCCAACCACCATTCACAATTGACGATGTTGCTCCTCAGTAATGAGACAAGATGATCTAAAGGATCAGAATGCATGATCCATTGGTCACACAGTGACCACAGAAAGCACTTTATATGTGCTCGTGCCCAAAGGAATGAGAGGTTTGAGGGATGCCCATATCCCCAAAAGAGAGAGAACCATTCTCGCAGTCGGAGGAGACAGAAGTAAAAGCCTAATAGCTCTTTCCATGGCTTGTAACCTGATACAGCTTGAGCTCAACTTGAGTATTGAAAAACACACCCAGATGGATGATATATTGTGTCAGTGACAGAATAGATTTCTCCCGTCTGATAAGAAAGCCCACTTTTGTTGCTTCTGAAAGGAGAATGTGAGAATGTTGTTCCACTAATTGACAGGATGTTGCCAGAAGGAGCCAGTCCTCCATATAATGATGTGTGCACAGACCCAAAAAATGCAGATGATGAGAAAAAGCTCATACAACTCTGCAGAAAACATAAGGTGCTGATGCAAGACCAAATAGTAGAGCCCTGAACTGCAGTACCTGACCATTGTGCACAAATCTGAGAAACCTTTGGGAAGATTCCTTTATGGGAATATGGAGATAAGCATTGGTAACATTAAACTTGAGTATCCAGAGCCCCGTGGAAAAGTGCTATCGTTGGTTGAGAAAAGATTCCATAGTAAAGCAAGGAGGATCAAAAAATTGGTTGAGTCGAGACATATTAATGATTGGATGCCAATCTCCTGTTTTCTTTTGTGCAACAAATAAATGGGAATAAAATCCCGGAAGAATGGAACCAACCCTCTCTACTGCCTTTTTGATTAAAAATTCTCTTATGGCCTGGGAACGAAACTCTACTTGCTGTGGATCTGTTGGAGGTAAAAAGGCAACAGGTTGAGCAGATAATAGTGGAGGTGATGTAAGTTGAATAACCAACCCTGAAGCCAGAACAGAAGTACCTATGAATCCCTGTTGAAAGAGCTCCAGTTGTTCAGAAAGTGATGTAATCATGCTCCCACTGCTCCCCTGAGCACGAGATAGTCACCAATATGTCCAAGCCAAAGATTCTTGAGAACAGGGATGGACTCTATTATGGGAACCAATAGACATGAGAACTGAAGGAGGAGGTCAGGAAACACTACAAACCAACACTCTCAAATCAGCACCAGAAAGGCAAAAAGCTAATGATGATAAAGAAGAATGTAAAAGAGCTGAATCAATTCGTGATTCCAACTTCTCTGGAACTCTGGCAAGCCACAAAAGGAGCTTCCCGTAACTCCCTAAGGGCAGAAGATGTTAAACGAACATTTTCTAACAAGGCATCACTACCCAGTAAATTCCAACAAAGTCCCCAACTCATCTTCAAATTACTGAGTGGAACAGTGATAGGTTTCCAACAAAAGTTGAATCAAAGATAAATACCTCAGGACAGTAGTGCGAGTAAGATGAATCTAAGAAAACAGTGATGTGTTCAAAGTAATTACAGGTCCAAAAGGGGGTCCATCTGTTGAGGATCTAAATATACCTCCTCCTGGCAGTGAAAAGCCAAAGCATGCTGTCTGGATAAACATATCTATCCCATCTCGTAACTGAGCAGCAAATCTCCCAACATGAACAGCAATATCAGAAGGAGAAAGAAAAAACAAGTAGTCACTAGCTGTCCTTTCCGTCAACAACGATGGAGGAGAGTGAAATGCACTAGTAACCAACTGAAGAAAAGAGGCTGGAGGAGGCTGAACAAGAGGATCCTTTGTTGAGGTTGAACTAGTAAAAGAAGGAGCCAGAAAAAGTGAGTCTAAATTCTCTCCAGCTGGTTTCAAGTCATTTGCAAAAGCCGCCTCAGAACCCCCCAGAGAGACACCTTCATTCCACATATATGTCTCCATCTTACAACGGATAATATCACTGACAGCCCCCCCTGGCTG